AAGCATAGTACTCCATTGTATGTATATACCACAGTTTTTTAATTCATTTGTCTGTTGATGGGAATTTGGGTTGTTTCCAACTCCTTGCAATTGTGAACTGTGCCACAATGAACATTGGAGCACAGATGTCTGGCCGTGGTTTGTTTCTTGCCTCTTCTGGGTATATGCCCAGCAGGGGGATTGCTGGGTTGTATGGTAGTTCAATTTCCATCTGTTTTAGAAATTGTCAAAATGATTTCCATAGTGGCTGTACATAACCTATAGGTCCACCAGCACTGGATGAGAGTAACTACTTCACCACAGCCCCTCCAACATTTGTTACTTTCTGATTTTTAAAATTTGAGCAAGCCCTTCTACTCAGGTAGAGCAAGCCCTCCCACTTTGTCCTTCTTGAGGAGTTCTCTGATAATTCTAGGCTTCTTCCTCCTCCATATGAAGTTGGTAATCAGTTTTTCCAATTCTTTGAAGAAGGATAGTGATATTCATATCAGGATAGCATTAAACTTATATTGTGCATTGGGCAGAACTGACATCTTTACTCTACTGAGTCTTCTAATCGCTGAGCGTGGGATAGTCTTCAATTTGTTGAGGTCACTCTTGGTTTCTCGTGGTAGTGTTTTATAATTTTCCTCATACAAATCTTTTTTTTTTTTTAGTCAGGTATATCCCTAGATAATTCCATTTGTGCTTGGCTATTGTATACGTTACTACCTTTTTCATCGTCTCTTCTGTGATCTTGTCTGATGTGTAGAGCAGTCTGATAGACTTCTGTTTGTTGATCTTGCATCCTCCCACTCTGCCATATTCCTCTATTGCTTCCAAACCTCCACTTGTGGAGTTTAGGGGATTTTCCATGTATAGAATCATATCATCTGCGAATAATGATAATTTCACCTCTTCCTTCCCCAGATGATTACCTTTGGTGTTTTTTTTTCTTTGTCTTATGTTTTTAGCTAGGACATCCTGTACGATGTTAAATAGGAGTGGGGACAAGGGGCATCTTTGTCTGGTCCCCTTTCTCAGTGGAATTGTTTTCATCTTTTCTCCATTAACTACCACGTTGACTGTTGGTTTTTCATAAATAGCTTGTATAATATTGAGGAATTTTCCTTCTATTCCTATCTTCTTGAGTGTCTTAAACAGGAAAGGGTGTTGGATGTTGTCAAATGCTTTTTCCAAATATATCGATATTATCATGTGGTTCTTATCATTTTCCCTGCCAATATGGCGGTTAATACTGATGGTCTTTTGTATGAACCATCCTTGTATCCCTGGTATGAATCCCACTTGGTCATGGTGAATTATTTTTTTAATATGCTTTTGTGTTTTATTGGCCAGTATTTTGTTAAGGACTTTTGCATGGATGTACATTGGGGATATTGGTCTATAGTTCTCAATTCTTGTGGGATCTTTGCCCACTTTAGGTTTCAGAGTTATACAAACTTCATAGAGAGAGTTTGGGAGTTTTTCGTCTTTTTCTATGCTCTGGAAGAGTTTGTGTAGGATTGAGGTCAGTTCTTCCCTGAATGCTTGATAGAATTCTCCTGTGAAGCCATCTAGCTCAGGGGATTTTTCGAATGGTAATCCCTTAATAACCTTGTCTATTTCTTCCATTGCTATGAATCTGTTGAGGTTCTTGACACCCATCTGGGATAGTCTAGGGAGGGATTGTGTTTCCAAATATTTGTTCATGTCTTCCAAGTTGTTGAATTCTTTAGAGTATAGACCTCCATAGTACTGTGTAATTATCCTTTTGATTTCATTAGAGTCCATTGTATTGTCGCCTTTCTCATTCCTCATCCTTGCAGTTGTCATTTGTTCCTTCTTTCTTTGGTTAGGTTTGCCAGCAGACTATCAATTCTGTTAATCCTTTCAAAGAACCTACTTTTAGCTGCATTAATTTTCCCCATAGTTTTCTTCTTTTCGCTCTCCTGTATCTCAGCTCTGATTTTTAATCATATCGATCTCTTTGCTATTAGTAGCATTGTTCTGTTGACTCTGCTCTAATGGGTGTAAGTTTTGTGCCAGCATATCATACACGAGTCTCTCTTCTTTTTTTATGTGTGCATTTATTGCTATCAGCCTTCCTCTGATAAATGCCTTTGCTGTATCCCAAAGGTTTTGGTATGTCGTCTTTCATTCTCAATGGTTTCTGGAAACTTCCTGATTTCACCCCTGATCTGGGTCAATACCCACTCCTTTTTCAATAGAGAATTATTCATCCTCCAATTATTTGCCCTTGGTTTCTTCACTGTCCTTCTGTTAATTTCCAGCCTGATGGCACAGTGATCAGAAAGAGACATCTGTATAATCTCTATATGCTTGAATTTGCTCGTTTGATTTGTGTCTCAGGATGTGGTCTATTTTTGATTATGTGCCATGTGGGCTTGAAAAGAATGTGAATTTTTTTCCATGTGGGTGGAAAGCTCTGAAAATATCTATCAAGTTAAGTCGTCCAATTGTGCTATTTAGATCTGTAGCCTCCTTGTTGAATTTCTTTTCCAGTGATCTGACTTTTTCAGAGAGTGATGTATTAAAGTCGTCAAGTATAATTGTTAAACCTGTGATTTCTTTTTTCACATTCTGGAGTGTTTGATTTACAAATTCCGTGGGTCTCATTGAGCGCATATATATTTATTATGCTCACTGGTTCTTTGTCTACTGTTCCTTTGAGCATTATATATTGCACCTCCTTGTCTCTTGTTATGGCCTGTATCTTGAGGTCAATTTTGTCAGATATTAAGATCGTTACCCCTGTTTTATTTTGCATTGCCATTTGTTTGGAATATTGTTCTCCAGCCTTTAATTCTCATCCTGTTTTTGTCTGCAAGCTTGAGATGTGTCTCTTGTAGACAGCAGATGGTTATGTTTTCTGAGTTAGTCTGCTAGCCTCTGTCTTTTAATGCCTGAGTTCAGACCATTGATATTCAGTGTTATTAAATCCATTTGTGGACTCTGTGATGTCATCTTATACCTTTTATATTGGGTATTTTCCTACATATCTATGTTATCTGCTTGTGTTGTACGTGTGGTTTATGTTTCCCTTCTTTCCACTATTGAGCCAATGCTATCCTAGGGCTGTTTTCTCTTTGTCGTCCTATGGGTGGAATTGTTCTTTTTGATGATCTCTTATTTGCCCTCGGTGAGTGTTGATCGTCTGACCATACTGGATCAGCAAGGATCTTTTGTAGGGCTGGGTTTATTTTTATGTATTCTTTGAGGTTGTCCTTGTCTGGGAAGACTCTTGCTTCTCCATCTATTTTAATAGATAATTTGGCCAGGTAAAGTATTCTTAGGTTTGCTTTGTTTTACTTCAATTTTTGGAATATGTTACTCCATTCCCTCCTCTTCTTCATCGTTTCCGCTGATAGATCTGAATACTCTTATTGGGGTACTTTTATACGTGACTGCTTTTCCCTAGCTGCTTTTATGATCTCCTTTTTCTCATAATGGATAATTTGACAATTATGTGTCTTGGTGACTTCTTGAGATTCAGTCTGGCTGGTGTTCTTTCAGCCTCCCGAACAGTTACTTGCTTTTCATTTATTAAGCTGGGGAAGTTTTCCTCTAAGAATTCCCTGGCTATACATACCTGGCAGGGGAGATACCATGATCATGAAGGTGTTTTCCCAGGTTGAGGCTCATTCATTGCACTCCATGTGTGCTGACCCCTGCGATTTCCCCAAATGTGGGAAATGCGACTGCATAATTTGTGGTTGTGGGGGACTGTGTTCGTGCTATCCCCTAAAAAAACAAATTCCCTTGCTATTTTCTCTGTTGACTTCTTTTTTGTGTTTTGT